TATATCACTTTTTCTGGTATTGGCTATATTACCCGAATTTTCCAGGGAATTTTTTCATGAAGATTTTTTACCAACATACAGCGACCGGGAAACCGAACCCGCGTCGCTGCATCAACTGACAAGGCCATAACGACTCCCACGACCGGTGCATAGTGATGCACCGCGAGGAGATTCCGGCCAAAGGGGGCATGCCCCGAGGCCCGATACCTGCTGTGTGCTTTAGCACACATGCAGACGACTACGTAGTATGCAAATCGTTATGTTTGACTGCGCTGATAACGGGCCACATGAACATCTACACAACTTCGCACCCTTACATGCTCGGCCACCGGACGGGCGACCTCTACCAAGAGAACTCCTCTCTACAGCGATTAGAGAGTCGAGTAACAACCCGCAATGCCGCAGACAGGCCAACTTAGATGCCTAGGCCGAATTAGCCGTCTATAGGACGACTTAACCGGCCAGGCAAAAATCAGAACACCATAGGCCGAATTAGGCGCCTTTTTCAGGCATATGCCAAATTAGGCGCCTTTTTCAGGCATATGCCAAATTAGGCGCCTTTTTCAGGATATTGGCCAAATTACCTGCCACTTTCGGGGAATTTTCATGAAAATTTGAAACCAACCGCGCCGCTGCTCCAACTTACAAGGCCATAACGGCTCCCACGACCGGTGCATAGTGATGCACCGCGAGGAGATTCCGGGCAAAGGGGGCATGCCCCGAGGCCCGACACCTGCTGTGTGCTTTAGCACACACGCACACGACTACTTAGTTCATGCAAATCGTTCGGGACCAGCTACCAGTATAATATATAATCAAGAAAGAAAACATATAGGGAAGTGATAGGGATTACACTCTCGCGGAGCGGTTTGAAGATAATTGCTGTTTTATTCCCAAGGGATCCTTCACCTTTAAACCTACAGTTCATCACGTGCTAACGTAGCACATATCGAAGAATTAAGGCGTTGGGACCTGGACGACCACGGAAGACCCGTAATCCCCGTCTGAACCTTTTGTAAGAAAAAGAAGCAGCAGACACTCTCTACGCCTCGTTGACCTCCCGAACCCAACATAGGCGTCATTAGAAATTCAGAACCAAGACCAGCCGAAGGAAAACCTCTCAGTTGGCCCTTGTCTGAATTATTGGAGTGATCTAGACATCTGGTGTTGCACGATCCTTTTTTCAAGCGGTCCTTCGGGAGCCGAATCAAGGAAGCTGTTAGGTGTTATGCACACCCAGAGTCTTTTTCATTGCTGAATAATTTTTAAATTCCATAGATAGAATATTATTCCATATATAGAATTACCAAAGGTATTGTTGAATATTTTAAGACTATTGAGGTTGTAAAAATACTATTCTAATGGGGGGTTTCCGTTAAAGTAATTGCGGCTAATATTGATATCAACAATTGCACCTAATCGAGCCACTATTTTTAATACAACCGTCGAATTTGGTGTTTTTCCTGATTTAATGTAACAATGTTAAGATATATTTTAACCGACTTCAAAAAAGAGGAGGTTTTCAATTCGGGTGTATATTTATGTTACGCTCATACTTCAATATGGAGAATTTCCATATTGAAGTATGACCTATTGAATAAAAAAATTCTACCCATATAAATTTGGGGAAAATATTTCACCCCTAAAAGTAACAAATAAATAACTTCTTTTTAGCAATTTGAAGTTGGTTTTAACTTTTTGTTACAAGATATAATAATTATTAAATCTTGTAGTGCATTAGACTCGGACAATTTTAGACCAATTTCTGTACTACCAACATTCAGTAAACTCTTTGAAACAAATCAAATTAATTGTTTCCGTTCCATCCCGTCTCGTGCCGTCCCGTCCCGTCCCGTACCGTCCCGTTCTGTCCCGTCCCGTCGCGTCCCAACCCGGCCCGTTGCGTCCTTGCCTCTTGCTTTTACTGTTCTGTCCTTTCTATACTGTCCTATCCTGTACTGTCCTGTCCTGTGCTGTCTCATGCAATCTAATCTAATCCCTACTTGAGGGGTGCCAAACCATAACGTTTCAAGTGCCAGAAAGTGGAATTTTCAGGAGATACAAAAAACAGTTTTAATGGAAAAAGAAAGAGCAAAGCAATAAAAAAAGAACGTTTAATCAAATTATCATTTATTATTAATAATTTAACACAACTTTTGTGTCAGTCGAAACAAGGAAATAATATTATTTTGTTTCTAAAAAAAATTAAAAGAACAAAACGTTGTAAGTACCATTATTTATGCAAGTCATAACGTTGTAAGTATTATATTACTTGCACATAACTCCACTTGAATAATATCTTTATTTTAAAAGGTTTTCATAAAATAATTTGCTATTTCCGGTTAAATACGGCAACATGGCACCAATGTCTTTCTTTTTCTCGGTAGATAAAGGTACAGGTGTCTCGATCATGTCAACTTGTAGGTTCTCAAAATTCGCTTTAGTAATTCCAGGTTTAAGCACTGGAGTTGATATCCAAGGAGCAAATTCGCCGTAACTTTTCTTTGTAAAAATGACACCAAAATTTTCAGATGTTAGGCGAATCATCGTTGCCGAAGATATCTGTAGCTTTTTGGTATTAATCATATTTTTAGCCAAATTCATCCAATTAAAAAAGGTTTTATTATCCACTACCAAGAATGGTTTTTTTTGCCAGCATTTGTAATAAGTTCAATAAGGTCTTTTGGAATCAGTGGCTTTGCACACTTTTTCGCTTTTTCAAATGATCGCAAAATCACGATCGCAGGCGAGAAATGTATGACCCTTTACAGGAAATTTATGAGTAATTTCTGAAAAGAAACCTTTTGCAATTAAAACGAGGAACATAGCAAGTACAGCTTGGTTCTTGTTTTGTCCACCACAGTTATCTGACCACAAAATTAATTTCTTTTTATCGGTAGTGTATCCTATTTCACTAAAAGTGAAAAACTTGTAAAGACAGGAAGCGATCTGGTTGGAACCCCTTTGCCCAACAGTTTCATTCCAGAGAAACATGATGCCCTTTCCTTCGTCCTCTAAGTGAATTCTCATATTGACAAACGCCAGCTGACGACTGTAGTACATCTGTGTATGGATTAATGTTGGGAGGTACATTTGTTGCTGGAGGTCGAACTGAACCACTCGAACATCTGAATTAGGGCATCTAGAGTCTGCTCCATCATTATTCATTAGTTTTCTGGCCATCTCAGCTTGCTTGTGATGAAAGTCCAACTTTTGCTTAGCGAGGTCTTTTACTACTTCAGTTGGAGTATTCCAATGTCAAACAGGTACATGAAAACTGGCATTTGCAAGAAATCTACAACAAAGTAAATGATGAAATTTACAATTTGCATAAAATGTTGTTTACTGTTTTCATCACCGTTTAGTAATATAAGTATATAATAACAATGGTAAAGTAATATAAATATATTTAAAGGTAAAATACTATGTTTACGTTTTTTAAAAATGGTTTAAAAAAAATTGTCACACATACCTCACTTGACTCACTTTTTTCACTCACTTCTTTATTTTTTGTATTCACATACGATAAGCCCTTGTTTCTGCAATATTTTCTTATTGTTTTTTTTCCATGTCTTTTTATTAACAATTTTTTTTCTCGTTGTAGACGCACCGTCTTGTTCGGACATTTTGAATGCACTGACGTTTGCAGCAGGGTTGCCAACTTTATTTTTTAGGAGATCGTACCATAAACTGGAAAAAATCGTATTTTTCTAAGAATCCAAAAAAAAAAAATAGTACGCATTAAAATTTCAATAAAACAATGGTAAAAAATACAAAAATAATATTATTATAACGTCAAAGCAAAATTTAACATTTAGGGTATAACATTTAAGAAAACACTAAACTTTACTACGACTTTTTTTAATTAAACGAAAAGGGGTTCGGACTGTACCACCCACTCTGCCATATATTACAATAATTTAAAATTAAAGATTTTGTACAACCGACTTCAAAATAAACTATTAAGAATAACTCAAAAAATATTTGTCAAACCTTGATCTAATTTATATGGGACCAAACGTAAAGTGCCAGCTTTCAAATAAAAAAAGAATCATTGAAATCGGTTGATAGGAAAACACATAAAAAAATTAAAAAAAACACAGTCGAATTGAATACCGTCTACTTTTTGAAGTCGGTATAAAATAGGGCTACTTCTACTATTTCACTATACATCAATAAACAATAAAATTCAAAAATAATATTATTATAACGTAAAAGCAAAATTTAACATTTTAGGGTATAACATTTAAGAAAACACTAAACTTTACTACGACTTTTTTTAATTAAATGAAAAGGGGTTCGGACTGTACCACCCACTCTGCCATATATTACAATAATTTAAAATTAAAGATTTTGTACAACCGACTTCAAAATAAACTATTAAGAATAACTCAAAAAATATTTGTCAAACCTTGATCAAATTTATATGGGACCAAACGTAAAGCGCCAGTTTTCAAATAAAAAAAGAATCATTGAAATCGGTTGATAGGAAAACACATAAAAAAAATTAAAAAAAAACACAGTCGAATTTAATACCGTCTACTTTTTGAAGTCGGTATAAAATAGGGCTACTTCTACTATTTCACTAAACATCAATAAACAATAAAATTCACACTCAACATGGAAAAACATACTTATATCTATTACTATTAAGCGCTGAGATCATTTTACATTACAAAATAATTAGCAAAGTTAAAATATTAATCATATATAAATCAATACAAATATAGCTCTTAGAGTATATTATGATCTATCAGGTACTTGAGCATACGATTGAGACTTTAGTAATAGCGCAATATTTAAATTAAAATTAATTCTAATGAACTGGCACAACTTTGAAACAATATCAATTGATATATTTTGATAAAGTTTTTCTTTGGTCTTCATATAAAGGACATTGCTAAGAAGTCATTACCAACAAGTCATTGTACAGTGCCATCTACGATTTTTCGTAGAATTTGGCCCTATAAGTCCCATAATAACAAATAGTATTTTGAATATTATTCACTATCAGAGTCATTGAGCGCAGCAGTAGACTCGGGAGACGAAGTATTTATTCTTTTGTACATACTCAAATTTAATTTGCACAACATCTCGTCAGATGGCTTGAAATCGATACATGATCCAGTTTCCTTAATATGTTGTGCAGCCAACAAAGTCCCATTCACTGTTTTTGTCAACAATTTATTCCGAATTTTTGTTTTCATTAGATTGACGTGACTGAATACTCGTTCACATTGTGCATTCGAATGGGGAATGCACAAAGTGTCTAATGCGAATTGTGATAGCTCCCTATAATCTTGACATAGGTGCAATTCACTCCAAAATTTATCAATCGGTAAAGTCAAATCTAATTCATTAAATTTAGCTGGAAGATTTCTCCATTGATTATCGATGTTTTGAATTAAGCTCATGTTGTCCATCTGTACTACTCTAGGAAGTAACTCGATTAATGAAAATATCGAAGGAACAGATTCTCGAAATTTTGACGATGCAGCATTCGCAGGATGTAGTATATGAAGTTTTGATAAAAGGGGGTCATTCATGCGATAACGCTTTTTTATTTCTTTAGCACTCGTTACCAGGAAATTGCGGCAAACACTAAAAAATTTATTGAGTTCCAGTTTACTTCCTGAAATTTCAAGATTTTTGAGATCATTCATTACTCTGACGCCTAAGTACATTTGCTCGTTTCTTAACCACATTTCTTCATTGACGAAATTTATTGATTCAAGTTCATGTTTCATAACGTAATCTCTCTTTAAAAAACAGAGTAGAATGTCCCGGTATATTTCGTGAATTTTGTCATTTAGCGAAGTTATCACAACGTTTTCTGATTGGAAAAATTTGTTAAACTCTGTAAATTTAGGTAAAATCCATGCGAGAAAATTAAAGTATAATTTGATGAATGGATCATTTAAGTTATTAAATATGATTTCTGTTGAAACGAGCTTCTCGCTGAGCCATGTGTTTGTGAAGAAGAGTTTCAATGCATCCCACTGTTCGAGTATTCTTTCCACAACTGCAACAAGTGAGAGCCAACGAGTCTGAAATGGATGAAGCATTTTGTGTGGTTTCAGTTTAAGAAATTCCTGAAATTCAGCGAACTGACATTGTCTCTTAGAACTACTTTTGAAAAAAGCGTATATTTCTCGAGCTAAATCCTCGCATCTTCTAGGTAGCTCTTTACAGGCTGAAGAGGCGCAAAGGTGGGCAGAGTGACACACACATTTCATTATTACTATACCACGACAATGCTCTTTAAGGCGACTGGAAACGGAATTATTTTCTCCCATCATCACACTGCAACCATCAGCAGCAAATCCTATTAAATTAGTGAGAGGAACATTTTCCTGTTCAAAAGATTTTATTAAGGCATTAAATAAATTTTTCCCCGTGGCTCCTTCGTTATTTAAGTCCGGATTTGACAAATCAAATATTTTCGTCAATTCCCAAAATTTACTAAATATTTGTTTTGATTTCTCATCACGAAATCTCACGACAATACAAGAAGCCTTTTGGGTACTTATATCAGTGGATTCGTCACAAATTACACTGAACTTATTTTGTTTTAATTTTGGCACCATGACTTCTTTTTCGGTCTCTCCTATGACTGCTGTGGCAATGGCAGTTGCTTTGGTCCTTTTAAGAGAAATTTGTTGAGCTATCTTTGAATCCGGGAATATGCTTTTTAGCAATTCCGTCAAGTGATCTGCCGTTTTGAACGCTAAATTATGCTCAACTAAAAAACCGGTAAGTTTTACTTCGGCATTTTGAACGTTTGTTGGGATTTTTTTCGTTACAAATGATGCCATTGTGGAAACTTGCTTACTTGTTGATGGCAACATTTTCATTGCGTCAAGGTGTTTTTGTCTATTGGCATGCATTTTTAAAACTCCAATCTCTGCAGTTAAAATAGAGTCGCAGATAAAGCATTTGGCTTTAAATTCGTTAGGGCCTGGCTTGAGCCACTTTTTAAATACATCTAATTCTTCCCACTCCGGCCGATACTTTTGAGCCCTATGTTTCTGCCGCTCTAACTTTGGTAATTCTTGTCGTCGTTCTAGTTTTTTTTTTGGTGTGCTATGCTTATTTCTAGATGTTTCTGCCATGATTATGAAGAAAAAACAATATATCAAACTGACGAAAAGTAAAAGTATGTACCTAATTTCTGCAGGATAAATACAAAAGTATAACAATCACTTTTTTATGAAAGCCACACGAAACAAAAAACACCAATACGTATACACAATAAGACTGAACCAAGGAACGCAAACAAAAAAAACATATATTAAAACATAAACGTAGTTAATCTAATGTCCATCAGCGTAGTGTAATATTATTTGGATTATAACGAATAAAATGACGTAAAACAAACTCGAAGAAATTTGGTTAAACTGCGCGGGGAATTCCTTAATCGGCGGCGAGTTGACGGAATAGTACGCTGCATATTTCTAAAGCGCGAGTGGGATAGAGAGTTTAAAAAATTATTGGATTGGATGCGTTCATAAAAAAATACAAAGAAGTTTAGAGCTCGTTCAATTTTAATGTTATTGATTTTTCATATCGATAAAATGAACTTAATCAATTATCATTTTTATTTTGTTATAAAGATTATAATATTTGAAAAGATCGTATATTTTGCGTACGATTTCGAGTACAGGATCGTACATCGTACTAGGGCTAAAAAGATCGTATGAATACGATTTAAATCGTACGGTTGGCAACGCTGGTTTGCAGCTCATTTGGCACTTACAACGTTATGGCATGCTGTTTCACAATATTTAAGTTAGATGGCGTTAGAAACCCTTCAACTCATTACTGCAAGTAAACGCCGGCACATACAACGTTTTACTGCAATAAAACGTATTTCAGTTCGTGTGGCACTTAAAACGTTATGGTTTGGCACCAGGGACTTAAAACGTTAAAAATAACAGAATGTATAACGTTATAATAACGTTATAATGGTATCGTTACCTCAGCAAGCATAGCGTTTTCAATATTTAGTATAACGTTTTAAGAGTAACAGAACAAAATTGTGACAGGCAAGTTAACATTATTATAACGATAAAGACGCGACGTTGCCAAACCTATTTATTTTCAAAAGCGCGCGATTCCGCGTGACTGACGAGATGGGTGGGGATGAGATCCAATTGGTCTACTAGATAGATTGGACGGACGAGGAATTCCTCGCACCGCACTCACTCCAGAAGCAAACTGGCAACGTTGTAAAGTGAATGAACATTTGATAATATCAAGTATCAACCGCTTGCGAGTTGCGATTTGCGACGTATTAATTATTATACAGTAGGTACAACTATAAAAAATAAATACATATAGGTATTTATTTTTTATAGTTGATTCGAACCACACTTGTTTACAAATATTGGAAATGGATCGTTAAAAAATTAATAAATCTTATAGATATTTTAATCTTGATGAAAATACTTACACTTCAAAATGTTTAGTTGCTAGATGCGAAAAATTTTTGAACGTAAGTTAAGCAAAAATCGTAGATAACGTGTAATACTGACTGGAAAAGAATGCGCCTTTTCCAGTCAGTATTTATTAAGAAAAATATTGTATTTATATTTGTACAGGGTCTCCTAAAAAACAGGACACCAACCTACTTTACCTTCTCTTAGAGCGTGGTCCTTCCCCGGCCGAGCCGACCCATTCGTACTACAACTATAGTACTAATATAGCTGCAGCCTGCAGCATAGCTCTACCACATCATACCTTGTCATATTTACCTATTATATAGGTACCTATTCATATCTTAATGCATTATACCTTTTAGATTTACGCAAATATTTGACATTTTAAATTAAATTATCTTTTCAGATTTTCTCGAAGATTTATTTTAATTTTTGGTTCCCGACGTTTCGAATGCTTTACAGCAATCATGGTCACAGGAGAGATTTAGGTCTTAGACGTCTCAAAGGCATTATAAAGTTGTTAAAGTAAAGTTGAATGAATAATATTAATAATTAGTGTTGCTGTTATTTTAATATGTATAACTAAACCATAAAGAAAATTAAAATATTAATTATTTAACTAAGCGATATTATTTTAGCCAATATCATAAACACTAGTGAACCGATTTTGATGAAATCGATATTATTTCCTAAGTTCAAATAAATGTAAGCAAATAATCCCTAAGTTGAAATAAATAAAAAACGAATGATCACGATCTGACCAGTTTCGGAGACATGCGTGGACAAACATACATACATATATACACGTATACCATTTTGTATCATCATCATCATTACAGCCCTTCACAAGTCCACTGCTGAACATAGGCCTCCCCCAAAGAATGCCACAAAGCACGGTCCTGAGACACCTGCATCCATCGACTTCCTGCATGTCTTACCAGGTCGTCACTCCATCTCGTGGGGGGACGCCCTACACTTCGCCTACCGGTACGAGGCTGCCACTCGAGAACCTTTCTTCCCCATCGGTTGTCGGTTCTTCGAGCTATATGGCCGGCCCACTGCCACTTCAGCTTACTAATCCGTTGGGCTATGTCGGTTACTCTGGTTCTACTGCAGATATCCTCATTCCTAAGTTTATCACGCAGAGAAACTCCGAGCATAGCCCTCTCCATAGCTCGCTGAGCGACCTTGAGCTTCCTCATACGGCCAGCAGTGAAGGACCACGTCTCAGTTCCATAAGTCATCACTGGCAACACGCACTGGTTGTACAATTTCGTTTTCAGGTTTTGAGGTATGTCTGACGAGAAGATGTGTCGTAGCTTCCCGAACGCTGCCCAGCCGAGTTGAATCCGTCGATTGACCTCTCGGTCGAAGTTGGACTTACCTAGTCGGACTATTTGTCCCAGGTAAACATACTCGTCAACAACTTCGAGCTTAGTGCTCCCAACAACTACCGGCATAGGTGTGACATGGACATTGAACATGATCTTTTTTCCTTTTTTTTTTAAAAACGTTACCCCCACACTAGGATTTTCTCCTGTATCGTGGAGGCAGTTTACAAACACAAATTGCACAAGGACAAACATCCAGACTCGGAACAATTATTTGTAGGCCATACAAATACTTGTTCCGTGCGGGATTCGAACCCGCGCCCCCCAGCGCAGCAACTCATTGATAAGCCACTGCGCCACGGAGCCGTCTTTGTTTTGTCCATGTTCATCTTAAGACCTATCCGTTGGGAAACACTATCGAGGTCATTGAGCATTGTGCTTAGGTCCTCCAGCGATTCTGCCATAAGGACTATATCGTCGGCAAATCGAAGGTGAGTGATGTACTCGCCATTGATGTTGATACCGTATCCTTTCCAGTCCAGAAGCTTGAAAACGTCTTCCAATGCAGCGGTGAAGAGTTTCGGGGATATGACATCACCCTGTCTTACACCTCTCTGCAATTGGATAGGTTTCGTACTCTGGTTCTGTACTCGGATAGCCATCGTGGCCCTACTGTACAAGAACTTCAACACTTCGATATACCGACAGTCAACTTGGCACCGCTGAAGGGACTGCAGCACCGCCCAAATTTCGACGGAATCAAAGGCTTTCTCATAGTCCACATACGCCAGACATAGTGGCAAATTGTACTCTTCGGACTTCTGTACAATTTGCCGAAGGGTATGTTTGTGGTCTATGGTGCTAAAGCCCTTTCGGAAACCGGCTTGTTCGGGAGGCTGGAAGTCGTCAAGTCTGCGCGCGAGACGATTCGTAATGACTCTCGAAAACAGCACGTAGACGCGGCTCAGAAGGGAAATTGGTCTGTAGTTCTTCAAGAGAGCGTTGTCACCTTTCTTGAAGAACAAGACCACCGCACTTCTGCTCCACTCCTCCGGTGTAATGCCACCATGGAGGACGGAATTAAAGAGCTTCTGAAGGACTTCAAGTACCGGTCTTCCACCCGCTTTCAGAAGCTCCGCTGTAATTCCATCCTCGCCTGGGGCGTTACCATTTTTTATATTTGCTTGGAAGGCCTAATAGATAATTATATGTGAATATTTTGCAGTCCCAATAATATTACATACATACTTGTCGAATTGATAAGCTCCTTTTTTGAAGTCGGTTAAAAATTCAAACCGACTTTACGCTTAACAGAACATTATCTTGAAAACTACTGAAGCGATTTTTATGAAAACTGCACTGTTCTTTAAATTGAAAGATGCTTAATGTAATAAAAAAGTGTGTGTACTAATTAAGCACGTAGGAATTTATACTTTTTTAGAGTAACAAATCAAAAATAACTAAAAATTATATAGGATCCTGGTGACAATTTATTGACGGCTCCGTGGCGCAGCGCTAAGGGCCGCGGGTTCGATTCCCGAAAGGAATAAGTATTTGTATGGCCTACAAATAATTGTTCTAGGTCTAGATGTTTATCTAGATGTTTATATGTAAACGTCCCCTGCGATGCAGGAGAAAATCTAATTATAAAAGTAAAATTTGTGAAGATAACGTTTTTAAAAAATATACATAATTTGTATTTATTAAGATTTTTAAACCTTATTATTCTTACTTTTTACTTTTAAATTCGTCTTTTGATGGGTAAATTTAACCTCTTTTATCTTTAAGGATATAAATAAATATAGTAACGATTATACTGAGAAGCTCAGAATGCCAAACTGCAATACAATCTCCACACTTAAGTTTGTTTAGTAAAACTCTTCCTCTCTATCCACATTTAACATATTGCAAAACAATGTTATTTTCTTATGTGCATGGAAAGAAAATCACTTAATACTAATATACTTTGAAGTGGCAGAGAATTTGTATTATATAAATATAATATATATGTTGAATTCCTTTAGATCTATCCTATACTTTCTTTTGAGCGTGTCCATTTTTTAACTCTTTTCTTTATCTATTATTCTTCTCTTTAATTTAGATATTTTTTTAACATTATCGTCTTTCTTGGTGTCACTTTAATACTACTGATTGATGTAGTATAAGCAGATAAGCTAAGTAGAGATTCAACTCTGTATTGATATGTGGATGATCTATGTGGAAGATCAACCTGGAATTCAAACAAATTAAATAGACAAGGTAGACTTATTGGAACAAAGTTCCTTATCGGGCGGTACGAATTCGGCGGATGGGGGCTAGGCGAGAAAAAATGTAAGATTTTTCCGTCACGACCCCTTCTGATGTATAAAAAAGCGAGATGGAATAATATCCATCTCCCTCGCACTTTTTCTTATCTTGCCATGAAAGTAATATTATTTTAATTTAAACGACGCTTAATTTAAATAGACGCTAGTAATTCATTGTATTTGTTAATCAATAATATAATACGTTTATCAATAATAATAATGTATACTACGAAATGAACATCGTTCCAACCGAGTGTTCCACGACACTCACATGTTTTTTTCCACATTACTTATGAAATTCAAGGGCAATCTGACATATAATCTAGTTTAACAATAATATGTAGAAGAATATTTCAACTTCTATACAATTATTTTGTCTACACAATCCTTAATGTATGCAGTAAGATATTAAGAACATCATTTTATTGTTATGAATGAATGTTATACAAAGTTTATGAACTATTTATTTTGAAAAACCCATATTCCGAGTTGTATGTACTACTACAGTTGATAATTCAATTGCTGCGCTGACGACCATAAAACGTATTTTTTAGCCTATAACTTTAGAGCACTGCGTTCGTTAGATCATACAAGTAAAAGAGATGGCATAGAACAATAAATAATAACATTATGATTTTGTGATAACAATATTTTAGAAACGTTTATTTGACAAATTTATTGTAACGTAATTATAACGTTATATACTAACAAAGCTTTGCATAATATCGTTATGGCATATCGTTTCTCTTAAACATAACGTTATCTCACACTTGCACAGATAACGTTACTGTATTTTAACGGTATTTAAGTCCCTGTTTGGCACCCCTCACTTTTCCTATCCTATCGTATCCTATTCTATTCTATTCTATTATATTTAATTGAAACGGGATGAACCTTGAGGTATAGTCATATATTATATAGATATCGCGTGAAAATATATAAAAATAATTAAATACATATTATACACCATACAATAATGGAAACTTTTTTATTCGATATAGATTATAAATATATAATACTTATTGAAACTCATTCTTATATTTAATTTACTACTGGTTCGAAGAATAGCTGCTTTCCGGCAAGAATCAGCAAAAAACCCAGCGGGACATTAAAAAAAGAATATTTTACGATCATATATTATTGTTCATATCATATAATAATATTTTAAACCTAATAAACAGAGTTATTATTGGTATAAGCGTACTGAGAATTCGGGGTATTATGATTATTTTTAACCGCAAACTACGTAATACTTGTTTTGGAACTGTTCGACATACCTACCGCCTTTTTTTCTTCAATTGTGACAATATAGTTTAAAGTTTAGAAATTAAGTTTTTTTGTGGTGTAAATAATTATTACTTAATAGGGTGTACAGAATAAGCCTATTCTGACGCACTGAACTCTTATATAATATGTAGTAACTCAATTTCAACCCATTCGTATTGTGATTTAGATATCGATGGGCCCCATTTTCCTTGCTGCTATGTTTAAAGATTAATCTATATGTCTTTAAGTAAACTAAACACAATAATATAATATGCATGTGCAATTCATACGTGGTTGAGTCACGCTCAAGCTGCACCATATATGCAGCAGAAATAAGTCGGCTCGACTGGGAAAGAACCACGCTCTCACAGAATACCGGCATAAAATAGCAGCATAATGCTATTTTACGCCTTGAGCATAATATAACAATATTTCGTGATTGTAGATAACTGGAGATGTTTATCGGCTGTTCCCTATTAAGTGGACGAAGGGAGTAGTAACGCTCTTGCATATATGTAGGTGTCTTCTATAAGCCACAGCATCTATTTATTATCAGGTGGAAACAATATCAACAAGGCTAGTATAACTTTCTGGCAATGCAAAACATGATTTTTACGTGGTAGAGCCATACTTTTTTATATATAGGATAGGGTGACAAACGAGCACACAGTCCACCTGATGGTAAGTGGTTGCTGTGGCCCATGGATATCTACATTTATGTTCGTTTGCGAATCAAAATGCAGATGCGTTGTCACCCGAGATAGAATGCCTCCTTTCCAGTAAAATGGGTCTCCGGTTCTCTACACTCACCATACGAAACACAGCAGCATGAAGCTGCTATTTGACGCTGGTATTCTGTGAGAGCGTGGTCCTTCCCCGGTCGAGCCGACCCATTCGTGCTACAACTATACTGCTAATATAGCTGCAGCATGGCTCTACCACGTATTATATAACTATACTACTAATATGCTGCAGCTATATTAGCAGTATAGTTGTAGCACGAATGGGTCGGCTCGACCGGGGAAGGACCACGCTCTCACAGAATACCAGCGTAAAATGGTAGCTTGACACTGCTGTGTTTCGTATGGTGAGTGTAGAGAACCGGAGACCCATTTTACTGGTAAAGAGGCATTCCGTCTTAGTCCTCACGTGACGATGCATCTACATTTTGATTCTTTATTGAGGATAAATGTAGATGTCTATGGGTCACAGCATCATCTTACCATCAGGTAGACTGTGTGCTCGTTTGTCACCCTATCCTATAAAAAATGATTGGTAAACGATGGGTTTTGACGCCAAAAATTATACTGTGGCTATACAAATTCGTGATTCCGCCCATGATCACATACGGTGCTTTGGTATGGTGAACCAAAACAAAGAAAGCCACAACAATTAAGAAGCTTCATTTTTACCAGAGACTGGCATGTATGGCTGCCACGGGCTACACCAACAGCAGCCTTAGAAGCTATGTTGGAGCTAACCCCGCTTCACCTACACAAACAACAAGAAGCGACTTTAGCTGCCATCAGACTCAAGACCCTAATTCTACGGAATAAGAGTAGAGTCCCCCATATAGGTATAATTGACAAAATTTACTCCAAAATTCCCATCTTACAAGCCAAATTACGATAAGATTGTGTTTGATAAGATATACAAGATACAATTAAATGAAACTAACCAGCTGGAGGGTTTAAAACCAAAAAAACTCATAATTTTCACAGATGATTCCAAAATAAATGAGGGTGCAGGATCTGGAACTTTCTCGGAAGACCTTAATATCCACATATATACACCGCTGGGTACCCACAACACAGTCTTTCAGGCAGATGGGTATTACCCAAGCGGACATAGTAATAGATGCTAGGAAAGTAAAAGACTCCTCCATCAGAATACTGACAGACAGCATGGCGGTACTACAAGCTTTGAGTTGTAGTTCCGCCATGCTGTCGTGGTAAACTCAGAATTAAAATATGAATGCCATTAACGACTAAACGAGGTATATAAACACAACAATGTGACTCTGTAATGGATAAAGGGACACAGTGGATCCAGAGGCAACGACGCAGCAGACGCACTGGCCAGGACAGAATCGGTTCTGGCCACTATAGGGCCGGAACCAATCATACCAATCCCCTTTGGTAACGTTCGTTCACTGGTACGTATAAATTTCACTAACCAACACGCTCAGCTTTGTTAAGACTTAGTAGAGCGTAGACAAGCTAGGGAGGCCCTGCCTGGAATAAAAAGTCGTTTAACCAAGGTTCTAGTGAGATTGAACAAGCCACAGATCAGAATAGTAACAAGTGCTATCACAGGACATGGCTCCTTTAACAAACATTTATTTACCATAGGTGTTACAGACTAATATGTTTTTAAAAGTATAGATACGTCGTACTCGCTCTAGAATGGCAATACGAAAGTCAGGTAATTGCCCGACTCGCATTCGGTCGGGCACGCTCTCGTGTCGCGGCTATACTTCGTTCGCTACAGCGCGTAAATATTCAAGTTATTCGCGAAAAAATGCCGTCCTGTATTTTTAGGTGGTGCACAAATTACATAGCAACTGTTAGAGATAAAAAAGTCTCATCAATATTTTGAATATAGAATTTGAATTGAATACAGATGTTTTGTTCATAATTGGTTTTATTATTTCAACACTAACCGCTAGTGTAAACTAACATTAAACTATGTTACCAAGAGGTACAGTTTTAGAAGTACAATAACATTTTTTTAGAAAAAATCCATACCGTGATGTGTGAAATGTATGTCGCCGTTATTTAAGCCGTACCGTACAGTAATTATGGCTGGGTGTTTTACAACTAGAGGACTACTATTCAACTGGATAAGCTCTGTTTTTGAGGATAGTTCTGGGGTTTCATGCTTAGTTCGTCTTTAAAAACTTTACAAACGTTCATTCTTATTACTTTAAAGAGTAAATATGAAAAATAAGTCAAGATAAATTTAAAATATTTTTGTAAAACGCAATAAAAAGCAAAAAGGCTTTGTGCCAAAAATGTTCGGGTCTCAATGTTTAAAATTTGTGGTTTTAAACCTCGTTACCCGGTTAGACGATTTTGCAGATGACATTTTTCTTCTTTATGTAATTTTTCAATAAAATGTCTTCTTCTTTATTTACGTTATAATTAGGTTTACTTACAAAATATTAAAAAAAAATTGACTTACTTAGTGTTATATACATTGTCTTAGCCTAGACTTCAGAATGTGGAGATTAATTTATTCATTATAGTTCTCTTTTACCTTTTATTAAAAGTTTAATTTTAAAATATATGATGCTATTTTATTAGTGACGTGTGGTTTAAAATTTAATTGTGAAGCTTACGCATACGAGTTAAAAGCAAGTCGTATGTTATTTAATTTTGATTAGGAGACTATTTATGTAGATGACTTCAACATCAATTTTAATAAACAGTTGGATTACAGCATAGGCTGAGACTGCAGTGACGTATCAATACTTAATAAGTGGAGTACGTAATATTATTAATTTGTTACTATTATGATTATTTACAATTGACAATGACTGTGCGCGGCCATATTGCGGTATTTTTTATTATTGTCGTAAATATAAACGTAAATTATGCAGAGGAAAGTGTACATACGGAAAATGGTGAAAACACACAGGAAAGGGATATGTGTGAAAATAAAAAATGTGTTTTTAAATGTTGCCCAAGAAATTATATTATTAGACGAGAAAGTTGCGTGAGAGCACCAGAAGGATTTAACATTGACTTTTCTAATGTAGATATTTATGACGAAAATATTAAAAAGACTGGGAGAAGTGTTAAAGACGTTTTTCTAATACATGTTGGTAATAATTTTGATGAAACTATGACCATATCGGACGTACCTTATACACAGAGTTATTTAACTGAGGTAAGCACAAGGATAAAAGTAAATTTACAACTTTGTTTTTAGCTATTTACGTGGTAGAGCCATGCTGCAGCTATATTTCGGGTATAATTGTAATACAAATGGGTCGGCTCGACCGGGGAAGGACCACGCTCTCACAGAATACCAGCGTAAAATAGCAGCTTAATGCTGCTGTGTTTCGTATGGTGAGTCTACAGAACCGGAGACCCTATTTACTGGAAAAGAGGTATTCCATCTTAGTCCTCACGGGTGACAACGCATCTGCATTTTAATTCGCAAACGAGGATAGATGTAGATGTCTATGGGTCACAGCAACCACTTACCATTAGGTGGACTGTGTGCTCGTTTGTCACCCTATCCTATAAAAAAAGCTTGACCTGTATCAACGAGTATGTAATCTAATGGAATTTTATAATACAACTTAATACCCAATTCGGAATCTCTGCATAATATAAATTTTCGCAGACGTTTTAAGAACCGATGAAAATACCTTATTTTTATTAAATAAAACGTTACCTACGCACTAGAATTTTCTCCTGTATCGTGGGCAGTTTACATACATAGCTTGCGCACGGACAAACATCTAGACCTGGAACAATGATTTGTAGGCCATACAAATACTTGTTCGGTGCGGGATTCGAACCCGCAGCCCTCGGCATCTGAAGATCAGAAGCCACGAAATTTTTCTGACTATTTCCCTAATTTCCTTTTACGACAGTTACGGGTTGAAAATATGGGGTAGTGCATTTTCTTATGCCGTCACTTCATGGCTCATTATGTAACTATACGATAATATAGCCCAACGAATCAATAAACTGAATGAAGTTGCAAGCACTGACTATTAGCGATCTCTCACTAGATGAATTGACTACGGTTGTTTTATGTTTACGAATATTGTTTCAAATTAAAATAAAGTAATCGTTTCATTTATTCTGAACACTGGCAACAGCAACTCAACAAATTCATGAAAACTGATGTAATGTGAAGGATACCTACTTTATTTTCCTTTTCTAATCTTTTCTCCAACTATCGTTTTTTACTTTTGGCCAATGGGCCATTGACATGACATTCCGGATAAAGCCAATTGGTGATAAAATGTGGATGTACCTATGCTTGAAATTTTTCTGTCCGTGATGTCCCGTCAGAGTCCTAGTGTTGCCAACTCGGTGTCTGGTTTTTGGGCTTAAATGAATTATTTAGAAAAGAAAGAATTATAACGCTGGTCAACATATCATGTGCGATTTTTTAAGCAACATGTAGCAACACTGACAAACTCGGTCCGGAATTGAAATATGAAATACTCTGACTATTTTATATATATATATATATATATCAAATCAAATCAAATCAAATAATTTATTCAGTATCAGAGTTTTTACATAGCACTGTTATGATTGAGGATTTCTTTTAAGTAAATAAATACTTGTGTTAGAAATCCCCCCTCTCCGTAACATTGATTATCGAATACTAATGTGATACCTATTTACTTCAATACTTAATCTAAAAACATATTTTTTAATTTTGATTTTTAAAGTTGCTCCACAACAGACAAATTACAGTAGATAACAATATATGCTTTCTAAACAAATTTTACATGATACACAAAGGATTTACAATATAACAAAATAAGTGTGTGTGCGTGTGCGTGTGCGCGTGTGCGTGTGTGCGTGCGTGCGCGCGCGCGCGCGTGTGTGTGTGTGTGTGTGTGTGTGTGTGTGTGTGTGTGTGTGTGTGTGCGCGAGTGCGTGCGTGCGCACGTGTGTGGGAGAGTGTGTGTGTATGTGTGTGTGTGTGTATGTGTTTAAGTGAGTTTTATCATTTCTATTTTAATAAATAAATATTATTTATTGTGAATTCTAACATAATTTAGTTTAGGTGAGTTTTATCATTCCTATTTTATTAAATACAATATTTTTTTATACAAGCTTCTATTATGTGTAAAATATAATCCAAGAAAGTGTTAGTTTTGGTTCAGCAAGAAATTCTCAGTTTTATCATAACTCCAAGTTTTTAATAGTGCTGTCAAAGTCATTTTGCAATTGTACTTAGTCATAGGATAGGTCTTAAGATGAACATGGACAAAACAAAGATCATGTTTAATGTCCATGTCACACCTATGCCGGTAGTTGTTGGGAGCACTAAGCTCGAAGTTGTTGACGAGTATGTTTACCTGGGACAAATAGTCCGACTGGGTAAGTCCAACTTCGACCGAGAGGTCAATCGACGGATTCAACTCGGCTGGGCAGCGTTCGGGAAGCTACGACACATCTTCTCGTCAGACATACCTCAAAACCTTAAAACGAAATTGTACAACCAGTGCGTGTTGCCAGTGATGACTTACGGAACTGAGACGTGGTCCTTCACTGCTGGCCGTATGAGGAAGCTCAAGGTCGCTCAGCGAGCTATGGAGAGGGCTATGCTCGGAGTTTCTCTGCGTGATAAACTTAGGAATGAGGATATCCGCAGTAGAACCAGAGTGACCGACATAGCCCAACGGATTAGTAAGCTGAAGTGGCAGTGAACCGACAACCGATGGGGAAGAAAGGTTCTCGAGTGGCAGCCTCGTACCGGTAGGCGAAGTGTAGGGCGTCCCCCCACAAGATGGAGTGACGACCTGGTAAGACATGCAGGAAGTCGATGGATGCAGGTGGCTCAGGACCGTGTTTTGTGGCATTCTTTGGGGGAGGCCTATGTTCAGCAGTGGACTTGTGAAGGGCTGTAATGATGATGATGATGATGACTTAGTCATAGGGTAAATGTTTAAAACTTTATTAAATTTATTATATAAATAAGCAGATCGAGTCATAAATTGCCTCTTAGCATAACTTGACTTGACTGTAGCAATGGGAACTACATTATGCTTTCGTCTCCTAGATATTATAGAAGGATCATATGGGAGCGTTTTGTGACGTTTTAGAATTATATTTAATATATACAATTGTCTAACTGTAAGAACATCACACATTTTGTATAGGTTATCAGTGGGAAACCAATAAGGTTTAAAGCTCATTACTTTTAGCAGTATTCTTTGTGCTCTTTCTAAATCGAGGAACTTCATCTTACTAGCACCTCCCCAGACTGGGATACAATAGGCCAATAGTGACTGAGCCAATGAAACATAAATTAGTTTTAATAGTTTTTTGTCAGCAACATGTCTCAGCTTTTTAAACACCCATATGAGTTTTCTGACTCTTCCCATCATTAGTTCTAGATGGGCGTGCCAGGATAGCCTCTGGTCAACTACAACTCCCAAATATTTTGTGTTGTTAACTTTGGTTATGGCTTTGCAAGAGCAATTATTTTGAATGTTGTCACAGTCATGAATTTGAATTATGAAATTATGTTCAAGTTGCGTTGAATTATACTTTGTGAATGCTATGTAGTTTGTCTTGTCCGTATTCAATGTTAAAAGGTTAGATTTTAACCAGTTAGCTACCCTGACTAGCCCCTCTTCCGTGACATGGCGTACGGAATCCCACGTGTTGCCAGTGAAAACAATGGCAGTGTCGTCTGCATAGGAAAAAACTTGTCCCGCGTTGATACTCATATTACAGAGACTGTTGATGTAAATCAAGAACAGAGTCAGCCCAAGTACACTTCCCTGTGGTACCCCATACGTCACATCACATAGGTTACTAATATATTGGCCTATTTTCACGCATTGTTTGCGCTCATTGAGGTAGTCTGATAATAGCGCAAGTGCCACTCCTCTTATGCCAATACTCTCCAGCCTTTGTATAAGAATGGGGACAGAGACAGTATCAAATGCTTTTTTTAAATCTAAAAACACTGCAATACATTTCTTTCCCCTGTCAATATTGTTGACTATATGAGCTGTTAGTGCAGTGACTGCATCTTCAGTTGAAAGATTTTGACGAAAGCCATATTGTGATTTTGAAAGAAAATCAATTTTATTTAAATAGTTTATAAGTCTCTTGTTAATTAATTTCTCTAAAATTTTTGAAATGATGGTTAAAACTGAAATTGGTCTATAGTTGGATACATCTTCTCTGTCACCATTCTTATACACCGGCGTTATTATTGCCTTTTTGAGCGCAACTGGGAAAACTCCATGTTCAAAGCAGAGATTAGCAAGGTGCGAAATTATGGGTACTACTTGCTCATTCGCCTGTTTCAAAAACTGAGTAGATACATTATCCCAGCCTGGAGCGCTCTCAGATTTTAGGCTCATAAGAATTTTGTGAACCTCTTCAGAATCGGTTTCCTGAAAAAACATGGACGCAACAGGTGAGTTAAAACAAACATTGCTAGCACCAACTTGTTGTGTATAAGTGTTTATTAGAATATCCTCAGCTAGGGTTTTACCAACATTAGTGAAGTATTCACACACATGATCAACAGACAACTTTGGGGAAGCGTGTATGTCTAGCAACTCCAGACTATTTGCTTTTCTTTTGTTACCTGCTTGTTATGGTATTTATCGTATGTCATAAAGTCCTGGGATTTTTCCTATGTTTAGTTAAAAGTTCTTTATCATATTGAATCTTAGATTTTTTAATTATGTTATTACAAAAATTACGGTATCTTTTGTAAGTTATTTTTAAGATATCATTATATGGGTCAACACGTAATTTTCGTTGCATGTCGTTCCTATTACGGATGCACCTTAAAATACCTGGTGTAATCCATGGTTTAATTAATCGATCCTTGGAGGAAATGCGTTTTGAGATGGTGTTGTTCATTAAACATTGCTGCAACTTATTAATAAGGGTGTTAGTTAATTCTGTGGGATTCTCATATAACATTAAGTTAGCTAGATTACTATCTTTTAGGCTTAAGAGTGCATTTTCATAATTTGTAATTGTTTTGTATGTAATATTATTGTTATTTTTATTTTGATTTATATTTTTTGTATCGGTATTTGTCAATTTTAGGAATATCATCTGATGATCAGTTATAGTGGTGTCAAAGACTATAATGGACGCCAAATGTATATTAATATCTATTTTCAGCATAAAATGGTCCAAGCAGTTGTTTTTCCTTGTAGGCAATACGTGGCCTGGAAGTATGCCATGCATTGCTAACATATTGAGGTATGCCAGTCTATTTGTACGTTCGTGTGATTGTTCAATGGTTTTATTTATAATATTAATATTAATATCACCGGTGATAACTATATTTTTATGTCCTTTTATAGTGTCTAAATGTCTGCTCAATGAGTTTATAAAAAGTTCAGCATTTCTAATTGAAGGCGAGCGATAAATGCAAAGAATTGTATAGTTGGGTAATACAACTTGCACGCATGACGCATGTATTAATTTAATTTCTTTTATATTGCTTTTAAGTCTGTTTTTTACATAAACGACTACCCCATCACACTGATTAATATGATTTGTGGTCGAGAAAGAGATATAATTATTCAGCTGAGGTATTGCTTCATTACAGTCAAGTCTACATTCACTTAATACCAACAAGTCAACCTCAAAATTAAAGTTCGATAGCGAAATGTAAAAGTCGTCGAAATTTTTAAATATGCTTCGGATATTTTGTGAGATTATAGTGAAGTCAGTGTTTTTTACGTAATGCAATATTTTCGAGAAGTTATGAATTGATTCTAATTTTGACTGTGCAACTTGGATTTTATCTATTACTCCCAGATTAATGAGAGAACTATCCATTTTAGTTTTCGTATATAGGGCTGATTTTACGTAACATAAGGAATTTAGTTTTATTTTGATTTAGTTTAATTAATATTACGATTTCTTTTGATTTACTTATAATTTGATAAGGAATGTACAAAAATATTGTAAGTATGTGTATTGTGTGTGTGTTTGTGTTGTGTGTTATGTATTTGTGTTTACTTTTACATAGTGGGCTTTGCCCGAATACGGAACAAGTTAACTTAAACAAAGCAAATAATGGAATATAAATAATATTGAACAAAAAAGAGAAATCTCCAATGCATACCGTATAAAGCTCAACGTATAGTCATGTTTTCTGCATCAAGCTATTTATTTGGGCTTCACTTTTAACCGTTATTACGGGGGACGTATCATGCTCTCGCAGGTACACTCGGCCATACGCACTCCAACAATACTTGAAGGTATTTGTTTTGGCGAGTTCCCGTGCTAAAAAGTACAGACGAGCTCCTTTGGCGGTTAGCTGCTCCGACACGAAAATAGGCGTATCTTCATTCCTCTTAAACCCAAGATGTTTGGCACAGAGCTTTTGTTTATTTTTCCTATTAAAGGCCTTACACATAGCCAAGAGTTCAGTTTTCACGATTGAGGATGAGGTCTCGACTATGATTGGTGAGTCACCCTTCGCACCCTTTTTTCCTTTTACTCGAAAGATGTCCGTGATATGTTCTTCATTAAGCTTGCATCCGACTGTTTTTGACAATGTTATCACCATTCCTATCAAGTTTCCTCTTGTCTCTTCGGTTGTTTTGGGTACGTTCTTAATCTCAAAGTTGGCCTTACGGCCTTCGCGCTGCATATCTTCCAATTTTTGCTCTAAAATAGCTATTTGCTGTTTATCCTTTTTGTTTTGGTTTTCGAGATGATCCAGTTTTTTTTTAAGATCTTCATTTTGATTGGCTAGGAACGATATTGTCTTTTCTATGCTAGAATTTGTGTCTTTAATTTCTAAAAGCGTTGGGGTAATTTTATTAATTTCACGTTCTTGCACTTTAAACATGGTATTTATCATGGTCCTCATTTCCTCTCTAAACACATCAAACCTATCAGGTTCAATATCGTCCTCCGGGCACTTTCTTTTGCAGCGCTGGGCAATGAAACTACTATCCAAATGATGCCCTGTCAGGTCTAGATGTGATTCGGAGTGAGATTTATTCAACATATTAACTTCCATTTGTGTTGTAGTGTACGCTGAGCCTTAAATCAAACGCCACTATTATATGAGGCGGGGTCAAGTAAGTAAGCAGGTAAAGATGTTCTCTGCTGCGCGCACGTCGATACGTCAGTGGGCGGGGCTATTATTGCAAGTGCAAGATGCCATTAATCTCGCAAGCGCTGATTAGTTGAAGTTAAACAAAAGGTCTCACGGTACCTTGCGAGCGTTGTACCAGGGTCCCAGATGTTACTCGGCGCTGCACAAGTTATGTTGACGCTTCTTAATCCTTATACACTCCTAATATTTTGTGTTGATTTAATTGAGTTAATTTTGAATAAATATTTTTGAATAAAAGTTATAAAATTTCTGTATACGTCTATTCCTAGCGGAGGTCCGGAGGGAGAGGATATATATATATATATATATATATATATATATATATATATATATATAGAATAGAATAGAATACAATAATTTTTAAATCAATATTGATTATTACATAATACTTATTGACAGTCATTTTTATTTACCACTGGTTTGGAAAACACCTCAGTCCTGGGAAGAACCAGCAAGAAACCCAGCGGGTTTTTTCAAACATTTATCACTTAACAATAACTTCGTTTATACAATTTTTAAATGATTTATCATAGAACCAGCATGGTGGCGATCACCTTATTCCCAGGGGTTATTTTCATTCATGTATTCCTTGATATTGTAATAACCCTTTTCATACAGTTTATATATATATAGATGATCGTACATACCTACTAGTGGTCGACAAAGTCAGATCGTAAAAAATAAAAATCACGGAGGGTAAATTTACCGTGTAGTGTAAAAGAGATCTTAGGGACAGAGGGTTAACACATTGCGATTTATTGAAGCGTTTGTTTTATACGGTTTCCAGTGGCGTATGCGATTCTCAGGGCGAATTCTCAATTTACGGTCGTACCTAATTCGCTGCTTAATTAGCTAAAAATTGTTCGTTTATTTTTGCTGCATTAACTTGTAACTGAAAACCGTGAGCGGCGTATCTGTGTCTGACAATAGACTCAAATAAATTATTAAACTGAATAATATAAAGCGTGATAGTGTGAACCCGCTCAAAGTCTGTCTTCAGGTGAGTACGGGATTCCCATCTTTATAACATAACACATATAGACATTCACGCCTGTCACCCAGAATGGTAGGCAGAGACTAGTCTTCCATTTGGCATGATCATGACATACTTATCTCCCCTCTTTGCCTCTGTCTTAACCACTTCTTTCTGCAGTCACTTATTGTCAGTCATTCTTCGTTTACTCTACATGACCAAGACACCGAAGCTTTTCTTTCTTAATCCTGTTTACAAAATCTTACCAACTTTTAAACTTCGAAACCTTTTTTTCAGGACGGAAATCTTCAAATAGCATTTAAACTGCCTAATGCTTTTACGCGATGGAGGTCGTTGAATAAAGATTACTTCTGTTTGGATTACGAAGCACTTGATGCAAATATGACAGTTATTAAACCAATATTTAGGGTTGCTTTCAAAAAGGAGCAAACTCAGGATAAAAATGGGTTTTATTTCAAAGCTAGTGGTAAGTATTAAAAGCCACAATTGAGTTCTAATGGGCATTTTGAAAAGGATACTTCGATAAATTATAATGACTAAACCATCATACTTTAAAATAAAAAGTTTATTTTTTGTGGAAAAATGGTGAAAAGTTCTTCATAAAATATTATCTACATATTCTTATAATAGCAGCGTAAAAATTAATTCACGATATAATTCTACTCTATGTCTTTATAGCAACCATTTTAACTACTGAAAGCCAATAAGGTATAAAAATTATATATATTTTTTTAATTTAAAGCCCTTATTTTGTAGGGAATCTAACTTTATTAATATATATTATATATAACATAATAACACTTATTATGCTGATTCTGTTCCCACACTGAATGTTTCTCTTTAAGTTTTAGCTTTACGTAATGTATCACCATCCATGAAGCCAATATTAGGCTCTGTTTGAAAAGCAGCGCTGCTGTCATTTAGTTCAGCAGTTGTTAGCTGCAATAGGGACCTAATTTAACTTTACACAAATCCTGTTTTTTTTTATATCTCGTGTTATTTTTTTTGTGATGTCAAATAAAGTTCTCTTTCTTTTTTTTCTTTCTTACCCTATAAAAAATATTACTCACGGTAGTTATTCATTTCGTTAGCCTAAATTATAAACTTTATAGTATTACTCACGATGATGTTTATCATTGCTTTACAGCAACAGAGACAACGTTTTTGTGCACATATAATGTTTTCATAAATATATTGCCCTTTTAAATATAATGAAAAAAAAATGTATTAAATTTAATGAAAGTTTTTGATATAATAAAAGTAACAGGAACGGGCGGATCCCAGAGGTACGCTCATATTTACAACAAATTCCAGATAATTTACGCTACTTATCTGATTGGCGTATATGGACTAATGCCAGTAAATAATATTTTAAACTTTAGGCTATCATTTAGAACTGGTTACAATGTTGTATTCAGAAAGGCATCTAGCATCATCGTATACTAGAAAATTCCATGTTTACCAATGAATATATAACGATCTCTACTAATTTTTAAAAACATTATACAAGCCATCAAATGGTTCATCTAAAAACCTTGAATATCTGTAACTAATTTCAAACAAACGATACTATAGATAAGCTGTCACCTCTGAGGATCAGGATGGAATGCCTGATAACCTGTATTTATACCAGATATGAATACCAGAGTTTTAAATGGAAATACGAGTACAATTCTTCACACACGGCTTCGAAATAGGAAAATGGATAGATACATACGAACCTAGAACAGGAGCTGCTTAATCTTTTATATTAAAATAATATTAAAAAAAAGTTAATATTTATGCTTACACGTTTACTATTTCAACAGCTCTGCTGGTTTCCTGCGCTTTCCTGGTGGCTGTTCTCGTAGTGTATAGTATATTACCAGAATTGAGGACTTTAGGCGGAAAAGTATTAATGGCTTGTGTCGCTAGCCTCTTTAGTGCCTATATGTTACTTGCCACTATGATGTTGATGACTTTGAACAATGAAAACATCACTATTGTAAACTGCATTTCATTAAGTAAGTTCGTAAGTTAATTTTAGATAACTTCATCCACTGAGATTACACACATTTATTATTTTAATATTTTTACAGCTTCCGCCATATACTTCTTTTTTATGGCCAGTTTCTTTTGGATGAATGTGATGTCTTGGGATATATGGTGGTCATTTCGGTCAGTATTTTCTTTAAATACAATTTTGAAATTCTTGAAATATATTATAGATTATTATTCGCATTCTTAAGAGGAATAAGGAAGAATATGTTAAGTTTTTCTCCAAATGCCAACCTTGGTTCTACGCGATGCACCACCGTTTACCGCAACTCGGCTATTTAGCGTCGTGGATATTGACAAATCTCTTAAGCGCGTGCCAGCTCGCGAATCCCTGACAAGGAAATAGAAGGGTAAGGTAGATCCACGTTGGAAGCGGCCCATGTCCGGCAGTATATTCCATGTGCTGACAAAGAAGAAGCACTTACAATTTGATAAGGGCCGATTTATATTTAAGGACTAGTTATTCACCCCGACTTCACAGGGGTGATTTCTGGATCTCGACAATGGTGCCACCTGCTGGATCTAACTGTGAATTAGCTATCGAGGGACTCACTCAAACACATACAAAATATTTCATCAAAGTCGATCGAGTCAGTTTAGAGTTTTAGCGAGACTAACGGGCAGCAATTGATTTTTAGATACTATATTATTGAGATTTACAACATGTTATTCTATCTAATTAGACTTTGTTCTTTTAAGGGGCTTTGCAAAAATTCGACCAATCAATCGTCGTGGAGATTCATTCAAATACCTCATATACAGCATTTATGCGTGGGGATTACCATTTGGAATGTTGGTAATGTTTGTTGTTCTCAATCAGATTCAAGTGGCTGGGATTATAAGCCCCAGTGTACCGAAATTTGGATGCTTTATCGATGGTAAGTTATATTGATTTTCTATTCCGTTTCGTGTGTATTCGCTTGTTCCTGTACTGATACAAAACTCACCAAAGCCAACACTGTTATTTTTTAAGCATAAGCCAAAGATGTTTTATAGGTCCAGATACCGTGTTGCTAACACACCGCACCGTTCATAGTGATGCCAGTCTTTGATTCATGTGTGCGTGAGTATCACGTGACGCGCGTTTCTTATGTACCATGGCTGCATTAATGTGCGTGACTTCGATAATAACAGTGCGGATCGATTACCCAAAAACTGTGGGAGATTTTATATTTCATTCATACGTACCTATTGATTCTACGAGTATAAAATGTGTGTGCGAGGCGTGTGCATTTGTGTGCGTGTGTGTATGGGGATATGGTTGATTATGTGTGTTTTATGTAGGTACGAACATCGCACTAAATGATAATAAAACCTATAATAAATGTAACAGTTAAAAATAAATAAAAAAGCACAATAGATATTTATGTACGTAAGATATATTTATAATCTATTATTATTAAATATATACAGAGTACTATACTTTTGTACTGTAAAACACAAAATATTGCCGCTTTTTACGAAGACATTAATTATTTTTCAATCCAAAGTAAAATGACGAAAAGAAGGAAGTTTGGTTAAGCGTAAACTTCGGCCAAGAGACGGCAAATGTTTATTTTTTTTTTAATTGCTCTATTCCGTTGCTGCGTGAAGGAAGGACAAAAACAAATTAACAAAAAATCACACTTTCACATTTATAATATTATATTAATATGTGTTACGGCCTACGGCTGCTCCCTTAAAGGGTCCAATCCTCTGGGGCCCATGAGCAGAAGACTTCCCGAGCAGACGTAGGTCGGGCCTCAATGTGGCCACGTGGAAATTCCTAATTACAATAAACCAGATGGGAGGACGCTAGAAAGACATAGTAATTACCATTATCCGAAGCTAACTTCGCACCAAGGCTTGGGCAGGCCGTGAGTGTGTGTAATAGTGGATGGAGAGTAGTGTACAGTGAGGGGTGAATGTGTGGAGCCTTATCAAGCATAGGCGACCAGCCGCTGCCGAGTTCCAGGCTGCTCCAAAATGCTGCAACACTGCTTCAGACTGCTTCGGCGCCGGACCACAGTCACTTTCCTCGTTCGTCACGATGACAGTCAATTAACTCTATCGTACGATTTACTAACTTACAGAAGCCACTAACTATCGCGGGTTATAAGGTTAACGCACAAAACGCACACGGAGTTTACAGTTTATTAAAGGTCACTATCGTTTCGCGTCGCAACAGTTAGTTCTAGAATATCAGAGGCCGCACTAGCTAATATTGCCTAATGCACTTATGCAGATTCTGAGTCAAACACAATGAGTCCCTGGGAAGCTCTCCAGCAGGAATGCGCGTCACAATGGTAGACCGTATATTTACTGGCCGCGCCGAATTATTCCGAGTTCCCGACAAAATGACAGAGTGACAATCGTGAGCACTGCCTAAGGACGACTGACTGCCCTTGGGCGTTTTACGCACGACCGAATGTCAAACCGGTATGACACTGAGCCGCGCGCCCTCTCGCGTTCGTTCCCGAAATTAGCGTTTAGCGCGAACAAACCCCCGTCCCGAACATAAGGATTTAGGTCCGCGAGCAAACCGGGCAGCGGGACAAGGTCGCGACGGCAAGTTGCAAGACCGAATCTACAACCAAACTAGGCCACCTTAGGCAATCCATCAGATCTTGCAACCCTAACCAACGCCTCAAAAGATAGCCCTAATGTGGCAAGCCGGAGGGTCAGCCTCCACTGGATGCCCCTCCTGGGCATCGCAGCACTTTAATAAGTCCTGTACTGGACAGAAGTCCGACGACCTCTTTCATACAACTATCTGTGCCCCTAAGATTAGTTCCGCAATCCGACCGGATCAGCTCTGCAAACAGCGACGCTACACGAAGCTGCCCAGACAAATTTTGTGCCAACAGTTGCTTCAGTGCAGAGCGCACCCACAAATTCCACATGAACGTCGTCTGTGGAGAGCCGAACGAAACGTACAGATAGTCCCTAGTATGAATTTTCAACAAGTAGGCCTAGCCAGGCCACCCACCATATTATCATTTACTAAAATAGTGCGGCAGCTGATTTCAATCTGATAATCTCCAAAACTAGCTAGCCTGTTAGACAAGTAGTCCCATGCTCATATTTCAACTAATTTTTCAAAAGCATCAATGTTCAACTACAGAATCAATTCAACCAAATTAATCACCGATGCGCATAGGTCAACTTGCAAATTAAACAAAACAATAACGTAAGGGACAGCCCTACTTCTTCGCAAAGCAAAATGATTAAACACTATCATAAACATATACATAATTTTTCAAATAGCGCGCCATTCAATTTCCTTTCAGCAAACAGACGCAACAATCAAATACAGTGATTAAATATATTTCCAAAACACATGCAGTAGAATTTAAAGGAGTACATTAAATTCAATTATTTTAATTTAAACCGCTACAGATAGGAAAGTTTCGCGGAAAGCCCAAAGCATTTTTTAATTTTAATTCAAAGTATTTTTTAACTAAGTTCTCGACCAAACCAAATCTAATACCCCTTGACAGCGTGATTCAACGCTCCAGGGGGGCCCTAATCTTCCCACCACCAAGGGGAGGCCACATGGCGTGAACCCGAGATCAATAGAGCGCGACCGCTAACAGTCGCCACTCGGGTTGTAAGCCTCACTGAGGACGTCGGCAACAGAATACCTTGACAAGTGGACTGTTGACGGCTTAAGGCTCAGTGGAGGCGGCCGTGGTGGGAGCTAAGGCGGCAGCTAGCCAGGGCCGCCTCCATCAAATGGGGAACAGTGGTACACCAGTCGCGGCCACTCAGCTAACGGGAGTGAGAAGGGTCCAGCGGACCGATGAGTGGCCGTGAAGTTCCTCTCCACACGCTGAGGGGGGGTGATGAGACCCCCGCCCCTGGGGGAATTACCCCCCGACTGGTCGGGGGAGGGACCCCTTTCAAACTTAGGGGCCTGGTGGCTGGCAGAGGGCGTGGCTGAGCGCCCCCGCCCGTGGGGGTCGAGGGCCTGGCAGAGCCCCGAGAGGAGACGCCGTTCGCACTCAGGCACAAAACGGCATGATGATTGCCCTGGCTATGCAGACAGGGCCGCCGATGCGGACAGTCTCGCTGGAGGTGTTCTCCCAAACATGAGCAGCACCAGCGGCGCTCCTTGGCGATAGTTCGCCTCGCCGGAACCGGCTTACCTAATAATTTCGGGCACGACGTTACCCGATGATCAGACACTCGACAATAGGAGCAGGGAGGGGTTGACGACGACTTGCCTGGAGGATTCAGCCTCTCACTGGGCACGGCTCGTAATTCGTCAACGGTGCCCGCCGCGTTCTCTATCTGCCGGCACTGCTCCTCCAAAAACCGCAGCAGGTCATAGAAGGGCGGAATATAGGAGGCCTCGTCCCCGCCGTACCTCTCCTCAAAATGGATTCGAAGGTCGAGAGGTAGACGGGACAGCACGATGCGGAGCAACAAAAAAGCCCATTCGCCCACTGGTAAATCCAGCCGCCTCAACGTATTACAGGCCACCAAGACTGGATCCAACAGGTCCGGACGCAGTCTGGCCCGGTCACTAAGCAGCGGGAGGCTTAGAAGCTGCTTAACATGTTCGTCCGCAATTTGCCGGACGTTGGCGTATCTTCTGGCTAGGAGGTCCCGAGCAGTCTGGTAGGTGTCGTCCGACAATCTCAAGTGGCCAACGACGCCCAGGGCCTCCCCCTCCAGTGAGGCCAGGAGGTACGCCATCTTTTGGCTCGGGGTCAGGTCACTCCAGGCGTCCACTAGGCTGTCGAAAAGACCAACGAAGGTCAGCCATTCGGAAAGGACCCCGGAGAACTTTGGCAGGTCCAGAGTTGGGAGTCGTCCCAACAGCTCCGGCTGAAGCTGCTTCAGAGAGGACTCGGACAGGTCACTCATCCGAGCTTCACGCGCCTCCTCGGCATACCTGCCTTCAGCCTCGATCAACTCGTCCGTGAGCCACAAGAACTGCTCATAGTCCGCGAAGCAGGAGTCCAGGACTCCCTTCTCCACATCCGAATCCTCGAGCTCAGCGTAAGCCTCCTCCACTGCGGCCCTTCGAGCATCCACCTGCTCGAACCGCTTCATCAAGTTATGGACCCTATCCGGTCGACCTATCAAAGCATGGGCGCTTGTGGCCCAGCGCAACTCAGTCCGCAGACAACGGATCAGTAGCTTGGGCGATGACATCACTATTAAATACAAATTACGACGCGGCTCGAGCACAAATTACAAAGATAACAAACAAAAAATACAACAAAAATTAACAGTTAATAAATGCAGTTTCTATCAAATCGCGTTGAATAGAAATTACACAAATACGAATTACTACGTATCAACCAAATACAAGTTAGCACAAAAGAAAAGACACAAATCAAATTAACAAATAACAAATACTAGTGCGATCAAATCAAGTTAAATTCAAATTGCGCAAATACAATTACTACTCTTTAGTTCAAATACAAATTACAATACAAACGAAGATACACATCACGGTCGATCAACAAAAAATGCCTAGCTCGGAAATCGACCCTTCGATAAGCAATCCACTACAACCATCCGACAACGATAATTAACCGATTACGTAAAAATAACCATCTACCTACATGAGGTATATCTCTAGAAAACTCCCGCTTGCGCAACCTAGGGCGCGGCTTTTCAAATCTACCCACTAACCAAAAAAAGGCCTAATATTGCCTAATGCACTTATGCAGATTCTGAGTCAAACACAATGAGTCCCTGGGAAGCTCTCCAGCAGGAATGCGCGTCACAATGGTAGACCGTATATTTACTGGCCGCGCCGAATTATTCCGAGTTCCCGACAAAATGACAGAGTGCCAATCGTGAGCACTGCCTAAGGACGACTGACTGCCCTTGGGCGTTTTACGCACGACCGAATGTCAAACCGGTATGACACTGAGCCGCGCGCCCTCTCGCGTTCGTTCCCGAAATTAGCGTTTACAATAAAATACAAAAAAAACCGGTTTACAATCGGCTTTTTGAGGGTGGAATTATACACTCGCGCTCTTTCTCGCTCTAGTAAATAACGGTTTTGAGTGACCAAAAAGGATAGAAGCACAGGAAAGTGCGATTCCGTGCTGCCAAATGTATTTCAACCCTAAGCCTTAAAACAGTTTAACTCTATAGGTTGGGTAAAATCTGTAAAATTAGACTGTATTTAAAACCCCTATACAGATAGATCCGGTTGATCGCATTAAAAAATGGTAAAAACATTTCATAGACTAAGCAACACTCAAATATTATTGCGCAATATTATTACTTGTATTGACATTTAGCTTTCGTATTCTTTTACAAAGAAATACACTACCAAATTATATAGTTACTTATGAAAAGTAATGTTCTTATCCTTATCTTTTTTCCAAGAGTAATTTTTACATGATTTCACAGCACAAACAGTCATTTTGCGAAATTAAAAAACACCGGTGCGTGATGTATGTTCGCAGTGAATGTCGCTGGCGTAATGGCGGAACGATCTAACGAATACACTAGTATTGGCGCCTTTGAAATGGAAGCGTTTTAGGCGCGCGTACACGGAATCTGGACCTATAAAACATCTTTGTCATAAGCATAAAGCGAGAGGCGGTTTCGTTTTTGCAGTTCAAAATATTTTAATATTAGTTTTCAAATTTTGCTGCTTTATTATTTATTGAATCTTTATTGTTAACACCTCAATAAATGGGGTAACAAAGGGTGGACTTAATACCTATCGGCATTCTCTGCCAGTCAACCCGTAGAGTGATTAGATTTTGAGGCAGGTGCAATTACATACGTACATACATATTATGATATACATATAATATACAAAATCTATGCATATACTGCATAAACAAAACATGTTTGATATATTATATTATAAATATCATTAAAATACATAGAATACAAAGCGTTACATTTATAATAAAATACATATATTAAAATTTGATAGACTTATCTCGATATAGTTTATTTGTGAAAACGCGCAAGCTAGATCTGAATAAACATGGTCCAACATCGCAAGTGTTTTATAATCACAACAATCAACTTAATCATAAGGCGACTTTCCTCCTGTAACGGCGTCTTTCCTCCTGATTTTTTGGCGATGTATTTCATCCTGTCTTTTTTAACGACGGCATCGTATATTTTCCCTTTGTTTTTTTATAGGATAAGGGTGACAAACGAGCACACAGTTCACCTGATGGTAAGTGGTTGCTGCGGCCCATAGACATCTACATCTATCCTCGTTTGCGAATCAAAATGCAGATGCGTTGTCACCCGTGAGGACTAAGATGGAATGCCTCATTTCCAGTAAAAAGGGCCTCCGGCCACCTGCACTCACCAAGCGAAACGCAGAGGTAAACCTCTACATCACGCTGGTATGCTGTGAGGTCGTGGTACCACCCCGGTTCGAGCCGGCCCATCCGTGCGACAGCAATTTTGCCGCGTGGCTCTACCACTGTTAAAATTTTTCTTGTTTCTCTTACAGGCCCCGAAAAAATGTTGTACTTTTATGTGCCTATGTTAGTCCTTCTTATATGCAACTGGGTTTTGTTTTTAATGACTGCGTTTAATATTTGGCGCATAAATAAGTCCAGTACAATGGTTAACTCGGCGGCTGCAGGCACACCTGCAGCTCATCGCGCCCAACGACAAAGGTATTTATTTTTTGAGTAAAAGTGACGTTCGCCGTGTTGATCCGGTGGCGAAATGTTCTAATTATTTGAAAAATTATATTGACCTTTTATATTGAGCCTGTAAAAAGTCAGGAGTAAATCCGGTTTGAAACTCCAACTGAAACTTTGAAGCTCCACCTAACAGAAAGGTCAGAAAAACATCTTTTGAGCCAGCTAGTATGTATCCTCCCCAATACATGAAAAATCCAGTGTGGTGGCTTTTAAAAAACAAAAAATAAATAAATAAGTGCTGATACATCTTGATGATAACTCATCACTATCATCATCACAACCCACCACAAGTCTACTGTTGAACACAAGCCTCCCCCAAGAAATTTCACAAGGCACGGTCCTACATCCATCGACATACCAAATGTAGTGGTGGACCATCTTACACTTTACTTACCAGTACGATTGTTTAGGCCAAATCGTAATATTTTAAAAACTTGCATTCAAAACATTCGACTCGGCGCGTGCCACCGATGGTACCAAGGTCACCGCCAGCCCCCTCTCACGCTCGCATTCCAATTGAAGGCGTGGCGTTCGAGATGAGTCTAGAACAATTAGTTGCTAGCGACCTCGGTGTCGATGAGACGGTTAAAAGTCGCGCGCGAAGCCTCCTCTGAATAGTTAAATTTGAAGTATCTGTAAATTTGTCTAATCTCGTGCATTTTTGCGTGACAACGAGGCTGGTCTCATATAATTATTGTTGCAGTATTGTTTGCGACCGTTAGTAGGTTGAGCGCGATCGGTGTTGATTTGACGGTCTAAAATTTGGGTTAATTGTGCGCATCGTTTTGAATTTACTATTGAATATTTGGGTCTCGTTAAGACCGCCTCGAATGGAGTGTCTGTTTTGAGCGTTATGTGACAGCGAGGCCTATCTTGAGTTTTGAATGATTAAATTAACTAATTGCCATTAATTTGCGCCGACGAGTTGTCGTTTGTGTGGCCTTTAATATCGTACGAAGGAATTTGGCTTTGTCAGGAGAACGCTAGCCCTTTGTGACTCGAGAGGAGATCGCTCGTGTGCTCGATTATAATTTGTTGCTAAGTGAACATGAAACGTTGAACTTTGATCGACCGTTCTTTAGTTGTGCCGTGTGTCACTAGTTTGATTTCGATTAACGTGGATTTAGTTAAATTTGAAGTTAATTAAATGTACAATAAAGTTGATAAACTAATATAGTGAAATAATAGCAGAAGTTTTCAATTGGTGAACGCCCACTGTAGGGCTCGCACATTTGGAGAAAAGCAGTGCCTGTGGATCTGCTGTCCGACTACATCGGTTAAGTCAGGTGACATTTATACACACTTTCACACACTACTTACATACACCTCACTTACCACCTGTGGTCAACTCTACCTCCGGAACTCGGTAAGTTTTGTTTGCTTGGCAGCCGTTTTATAATAATAGTCTATAGGCCACTTGGGTCCCACCCTCGGTTGCCCATCGAAGGTGTTACTCATGGGCCCTAATACAGTCGACTTTTGTCGGGGCAACTAAGGGCATGAACAACGAGGCTGCTACTTGAGAAACTCACTTGCCCATCGGTTGTCGGTTCTTCAAGCTAAATAGTCGGCTCATTGCCGCTTCTGATCCGTTGGTCTATGTTGGTTTTGTCCGAGAAGCTCCCAGCATAGCTCTCTCCACAGCTCGCTGAGCAACTTAAGCTTACTAATACGGCCAGCTGTGAAGTACCACGTTTCACATTCATATGACATCACGTACTGGTTGATAAATAATAATAATAATTTTGTTATAAAAGTATTTCTAATATTCACTCGCTTCAGGACCCTTCTAGAATATTTAGAGACGATGATAGGAGAAACAAAAGTATGACATTTCGTATAGATCCGGAGCAGCATTTGTGTCGGCTGAACTAAGTTTCGTAAATATGAGTTTCTGAGAGAGGACTTCATATTTGTGCCATATGCTGTAGAGACTATCGGTGCGTGGGATCCACGTGCGTTGAAGTTCTTATAGAAACGATTTGTCGTCGCCACTGGTGATAAGAGGTCTTTATCTTTTCTCATTCAAAAGCTAAGTATTCAGCAAGGAAACGCAGCCAACGTTCTTGGCATTATATCGCGGGGAGTAGGGCTGTTTGATAATTTGAATTTTTAGTTTAACTTTTTTTATCATGGTAATAATTCTGGTACGTTTTAATTAATGATTTTTTACAGATTCTTAGTTTACATAAAGCTGTCAGTGGTGATGGGAATAAGTTTTGTGCTGGAGGTGACAAGCACTCAAGCGCCGCAACTGGCGATATGGTATATAACTGACATGTACAATATGCTGATAGGCGTAACCATTTTCTTTATATTTGTTTGCAAGAGGAAAATATTCAGAATGCTATCTGAAAAGTGAGTAGTTACATAATCTTCTTGCATTTTCATATGTAGTAACTTCCTTCCTTAGGAGTAACAACATATCTGTATTTTGATGTATATGGATCACAGAATCCACTTACAATCAAGTGGACTTTGTACTCGTTAATCACTCTTAATCTTATTATAAATAACTATAGATTACAAGGTGTTACAAATAAAAATGAGGATACCAAATTAAACACTTTTTTTATAGAATAAGGGTGACAAGTGAGCACACAGTCCACCTGATAGTAAGTGGTGGTTGTAGCCCATAGACATCTAAATCTATCCCCGTTTGCGAATTAAAATGCAGATGAATTGACAGCCGTGAGGACTAAGATTCAGTGCCTTTTTTCCAAAAATAAGGGTACCGGGTTTTCTACACAACATACGAAACACAGCAGCATTTAGCTGCTATTTTACGCTGGTATTCTGCGAGAACGTAGTCCATCCCCAGTCGAGGCAAGCCATTCGTGTTACAAATATACAATGAATACAGCTGCAGTGTGGCTCTACCATGTTGTAAAATAATACTGTACTAGTTAAACATTTGACAGTAACCAGCGCTTTCCTACATCAAACTGGTCTAAGATTGCATTATCCAAAAAGAAGTGAGGAAAAGTTTGAATCATCTTAATTTGATGTGTATATTTTTTATGTATGTTTACAGATTACTCGGACACACCTGAAACAACTTAAGTGATTCTTTTTATTAAATACGCCATGGGTGGTCCTAAGTAATTTTAAAGAAAAAATATCATGCCTAAGGATGAAAATTTTAATGTACCTATTTAAATGACATTCTAGTTGTAATCTTGAACTTGTGATTTTCTTAGACTCCTTATAAGGGTAGAATAATTAAACTGAATAAAACGCAAAACGAACGTTAAAAATGAACTTTTACCAAAAAAAATAATTTTGAGTTTAAAATGAGCCGTACCTAACATATTGTAGTGTTATGATGTAAAGGAGACTCTTAGAGGTGTTAGGAGGAATATATTATTTTTTTCTTTAAAAGTTAACCTATGGCACGTAGTGTAACTTGTTGCTCGACGGAAAAACCAAATCCTACCGAATATACCATAGTGAGATCACAGTCCGAGGCTCACGGACTCTACGTTCATTTTGGAAAGGCTTGTGCCAAGTAGGGGACATAAGAAGACTGTGTTAATGATGATAGTTTTGTTAATTTTTTTAATACGTGCTGGTTGGTGTGTATGGTGCATTTGCGGCGTTAAAAAATAAAGTTCAGGATAAAGGTGCACCTCGTATTCTATAAAGAACTAGATGCTTCGTAGACTTATAAATTTTTCTTGCAGTTATTCCGCATCGGTGAGGGAAGGTTTTCTTACTTGCTTTACATTATAATTTTTGAGACTTTTTTTTAAAGATTTGAGATGAGCGTTTTATAATTTTTAAGTTCAAAGAGATATTAATAAATATATTTATTAGTGAAAGGGTGGCATGCTATTTGAGTAGCAGGATTTTTACGTGGTAGAGCCATTCTGCAGCTATATTAATAGTATAGTTGGAGCACGAATGGGTCGGCTCGACCGTGGAAGGACCACGCTCTCACATAATACCAGCGTGAAATAGCAGCTTAACGCTGCTGTGTTTCGTATGGTGAGCGTAGAGAACCGGAGACCCTTTTTATTGGAAATGAGGCATTCCGTCTTAGTCTTCACGGGTGACGCATCTGCATTTTGATTTGTAATAAAGGATAGATGTAGATGTCAATGGGTCACAGCAATCACTTACCATCAGGTGGATTTTGTGCTTTTTGTCGCCCTTATCCTATATAAAAAAAAGATTTTCTACTTTTTTCGTTCGTTTAGAATATTGTAATTAAGGAATTTCGCAAAATTTGAATAATTATTATCATCATCACTACAGCCCATTACAAGTTCACTGCTGAACATAGGCCTCCCCTAAGAAACGCCACAAAGCACGGCTCCGAGCCACCTTCTTCCATCAAACTCCTGCATTTCTTACCAGGTCGTCACTTTATCTAGTGGGTGGCTGTCCTACAATTTGCTTAAGAGTACGATCCTGCTACTCTTCCCTTTCTTCGCCATCGGTTGTCCCATAGCCACTTCAGCTTACTGATCCGTTTTTCAGAATTTCAATACAAAGGTACACGATGAAATGATTACTTTATTATTATTTATATATTTTTTCTTATATTACAGATTTCAAAAGAGTCGCGAAGCTAAACAACGATTCAACGCGAGTGAGACCAATGTGACGTATATTGATGAGCATAAAGAACAATTTTTGCTACAAAACAAAAGTGCTTAGTTTATATATGTATTTAGTGATTTTTTAATAATAGAATATAATATAATAGAATAGAATAATTTTTATTCAAAATTGATCACAAGTAATTCTTATTGAAAGTAATTTTTTTCATTACCGTTCGAAAAAAATCCTCTGTCCTGGGAAGAACTATCAAGAAACCCAGCGGGACTTTTCTTTTAAATACATTTTACAATATAAATGATTACAAACTATTTACAAAATTTATTTTAGAAACTGCTTGGAAGCGACCACCTCATTCCCAGATGTTATTATCAACCATGTATTCATTTATATTATAATAACTCTTTTTATACAGTTTTTGTTTAAATATTTAAACTTGAAAATAGAGAGACCTTGTATATTTTCGGGGACTTTGTTGTAGTAGCGTATACATTGCCCCAAGAATGAATTACTGACTCTGTGGAGTATAGAGAATATTGGGTCGAATAGGTGGGAGTATTACTTTGTCGCCTTTAACAATAACACTGCTTGCACTGCTGTGTTACAGTCTGAAGGGTGTGGAGAGCCTGTACATTGTGATGCATCATATCGTTGCGTTCAGAGATGACAACGTACTTGTGGCCTTCTTCGTTTGAAGTTGGCTGCAGGTGTCCATGGACTGAAGCAGGCACTTACCATCAGTTTGACTGTTAGTTCATTTGTCTCGTCAGTTTTATAAAATTATCTGAATTGCTACAACATAATTACTATAATCATCTTCTTCAGAAGCTATACAGACTGTAAACCCATGTAGGGACAAGCACCTAGTTTTTTTTGTTTTATAGGATAAGGGTGACAAACGAGCACACAGTCCGCCTGATGGTAAGTGGTTGCTGTGGCCTATAGACAACTACATCTATCCTCGATTACGAATCAAAATGTAAATGCGTTGTCACCCGTGAGGACTAAGATGGAATGGCTCGTTTCCAGTAAAAAGGGACTCCGGTTCTCTACACTCACCATACGAAACACAGCAGCGTTAAGCTATTTCACGCTGGTAATCTGTGAGAGCGTGGTCCTACCCCGGTTGAGCCGACCCATTCGTGCTACAACTATACTACTAATATAACTGCAGCATGGCTGCATCTACCACGTATATAATTTCAATCACATAAAACGAAAGCTTTTGTTCATTATCCTATGTTGTGCAAAAGCGTGTTCAAATTTTATAATATTTTTTTATAGAATAATAGTGACAAACGAGAGCATATTCCACCTGATAGTAAGTGGCTGCTATGGTCCATAGACATACATCTGTATTCTGTAATCGATTTGGAATCAAAATGCACATGGGTGGTCACCGATGATTAACAAGATGCTTATAACAAGTAATAGAGTTAATAGGGTTGGTTAACTTTAATAAGTAATTAAAAAAAATAAACAATATTTTTTAAACAAATGTGTAAAGTTCATACTTTGTTTTATTTATGATTTTTAAAATAAATATATAATTTAATTAATATTTCTTGAGTTTTTTTTTATATACTGATTTCAATGTGAACTAACCCTTTATTGGCGGTGTTAAAATATCCAGTATACCAACTCATCCTGTGGGTGTCGTAAGAAGCGATAGAAGGAAACTGAACCAGGAGATGGGCAGTAGCATCTTCCTGTCAGTTTGTTTAAGTCTTAAATTAGTCAATACGTATTTTTTGTATAATTTACCTTCGTATAGTTTGTAATAAAGTTGCGAAAACATACTTTAAAAATAATATTTCCACATACAAACTTAACCACCCCTCATCACTTCTTAGGGGATACAATTTTAATAAATTCTTTCGCAGAACACATCAAGCGTACTCAAGGAATATTTACTTTAAATTTCAAACCTCTAAGTCCACAGATTTAGGTTGTGCGTTGACTATCAGTTAGTAAGTTAGTCACTTACTTACGGTACTCCTTTATTGGCTACTATACATTTAAACTGCTTTATATACCTAGTCAGGTCATAAGCATTGTCACACAGTAAAAACTTTTCTTTTAGAATGCTGGCCACAAAAAGTTTATTGAATTCGAATTGTTCATGAAAATAAAACTGTATACTTTTTAGAATTTTACTCATTTTTAAATATGGAGTGGACGCTTAAAGAAGACCGTGTTGCAGTTATTGCGTTGTATCGTTGCGGTTACGCGCCAATTCAAATTTTTGACATACTGAAAAATTTGAATATAACCAAAAGATTCGTTTATCATACCATCAAACGATACAATGACGACTCTAGTGTAGATGACAGGTCAAGAAGTGGTCGCCCTCGGTCTGTTAGGACTCCAGCAGTGATAAAAGCTGTGAAGGCGCGAATTCAAAGAAATCCCAAACGTAAGCAGAAACTGTAGGCCCTTCAGATGGGGTTAAGCAGAAGCATGGTGAAAAGGGTGTTAAATGAAGACTTAGGGCTTCGGGCATATCGAAGAAAAACAGGACATCGTTTGAATGCTCGTCTAATGGACCTGAGAGACCTGAAGAGATGCCGCGCTTTGTTGAAGCGGTACGCGGGAAAAACATATCGGGAAATTATTTTTTCGGATGAAAACATTTTTACCGTAGAAGAGAGCTACAACAAACAAAATAATAAGGTGTACGCACACAGTAGTGAAGAAGCGAGCAACCGTATTCCGCGTGTCCGACGAGATCATTTTCCATTCTCGCTCATGGTATGGTTGGGAGTTTCTTATTGGGGCTTAACAGAGGTACATTTTTGTGAGAAAGGTGTAAAATCGAATGCAGTTGTGTATCAAAATACAGTCCTGACGAACCTTGTGGAACCTGTTTCTCATACCATGTTCAATAACAGGCACTGGGTATTCCAACAAGATTCGGCGCCAGCTCATAGAGCGAAGAGCACACAAGACTGTCCGGCGTCGCGTGAAATCGACTTCATCCGGCACGAAGACTGGCCTTCCTCCAGTCCAGATTTGAATCCGTTAGATTACAAGATATGGCAACACTTGGAGGAAAAGGCGTGCTCAAAGCCTCATCCCAATTTGGAGTCACTCAAGACATCCTTGATTAAGGCAGCCGCCGATATTGACATGGACGTCGTTCGTGCTGCGATAGACGACTGGCCGCTCAGATTGAAGGCCTGTATTCAAAATCACGGAGGTCATTTTGAATAAACTTTAGTGTCATAAGGATCTATGTTTTGTTAAGTTCATTTTGGTATATAAATGGTTACATAATGAATAAACTTGTTTCAATTATTTTATATTAAACATGTGACAGAATTTATGACCTGACTAGGTATAATAAAAAGATTATATTTATGTAACACTTATGAAATATTTCTGCTGGACACCGGCTGCTTCACATTACTAAGGGTGTTTTTATGGAAGAGTATCCTAATGTGTGTTGGCGAACTTCATTCAAATACTTCGTTTCTCAAACATACAGGTATTATCACGATGTTTTCTTTAACCGAAATTCAGTAGTTAAACTGCTATTAAGAAGTCAGCGGGGTTCGAACTCTGGTTGTTGGCGTATACTAAAATTTAAGCGCGTCTAAATTTTAGTATACTCAAACAACCAGACGCTTGGCTGTTTGGCCCAGCACCTGATGTACCACGGCTGTGGTACATAAGGTACTTGGCGCAGGCAAAGATATAGACAGCATTATTTATAAATCAGAAATATTTCAATGCTTAAAATAGAAGTGAAGCTTTTCTTCCTTTTACCAGCCCATAAAAGTCCACAGCTAAACGTAGACCTCTCTTGAAGGATTTACCATAATCGCCATCCTAGTAGCCGGATTGACAACCACAGTAGGTGGTAGGTCACTCAATAAGTTTTGAGATATACAAAAAGTGTTCTAGATACTATTAATATTTATTTTACATCTTTTTAAAATATTCCAACCAAACCTAAACCAACTCTGAAAACACTTTTGCCAGTCTTGATCTGAAAGGTCTGAAATCGCTTCTTCGTAGGCAGCCACAGCTTCTTCGGCGCTTGAAAAAAACTTGCCTTTTATTTTTTCTTTGACTCTTGGGAACAAAAAGAGATCACAAGGAGCTAAGTCAGGGCTGTAGGGTGGGTGACTTAGAGTTTCAGCACCAGTATCCCCAACAAATGCTTTTGTCCTAAGGGAGGAATGTGAAGAGGCGTTATCGTGATGCAACATGATTCCCCGAAGCCCGGAATTCGGTCTTCTCTCCCGCACAGCTTGAAAAGCTTAGGGTAATGCAACTGTAGTATACCATTCAGAGTTTACTGACCTACAATTTTCCAGCATTGACGTCGACAAATGCTTCGCTCCGCGAAAAAAAACTAGGCACCATTTTGCCGAAGTTGTGAGGTCTTTGCAGTTTTGTCGTTTACTGTCCTCCTGAGTAGACCCATATCGATGATTGCCTTGCCTATTTTCCGGATCATATTGATAGATCCATGTCTCGTCACCAGTAACGATTTCTGAAACACGCCTAGATGCCCCGTTTTCAAAACGTAGACGCTCCGTATATGTAATTCGACGATCTTCTCCCACCAACATTTCAGTAGTCCATACATTTTTTGCCCTTACTGCTGTTTGCGGGGCCCCAGTTCTTTATTCATCTTTAAGATTAATTTTGCCCCTTTTGAATTCAGCAAACCACCTAAAAATTGTTGCGCGTGATGAATCTGAGTCTCCTAATGCTGATTGTAATCGTTGTAAACTTAATTGTTCGGTTAAGCCAAATTTCATCATCATCATCATCATTACAGCCCTTCACAAGTTCACTACTGAACATAGGCCTCCCACAAGAAATGCCACAAATCGCGGTCCTGAGCCACCTGATCCATCGACTTCTTGCATGTCTTACCAGGTCGTCACTCCATCTAGTGGGGGGACGCCCTATACTTCACCTGCCGGTACGAGAATGCCACTCGAGAACCTTTCTTCCCCATCGGTTGTCGGTTCTTCGAGCTATATGGCCAGCCCATTGCCACTTCAGCATACTAATTCTTTGGGCTATGTCGGTTACTCTGGTTCTACTGCGGATATCCTCGTTTTTAAGTCTATCACGCAGAAAAACGCCCAGCATTGCCCTTTCTATAGCTCGCTAGGCGACTTTGAGATTCTTCATACGGCCAGCAGTGAAGGACCACGTCTCAGATATGTCGTAATCTTCCGAACGCTGCCCAGCCGAGTTGAATCCGTCAATTGGTCTATCGGTCAAAGTTGGACTTACCTAGTCAGAATATTTGTCCCAGATAAACATATTCGTCAACAACTTCGAGCTTAGTGCTCCCAACAACTACCGGCATAGGTGGACGTTAAACATTATTTTTGTTTTGTCCATGTTCATCTTAAGACCTATCCGTTGGGAGACACTCAATAGTGTTTCTCTCTTCCTCATACGGCCAGCAGTGAAGGACCACGTCTCAGTACCATAGGTCATCACTGGCAACACGCATTTATCTTTATCTTATCTTATCTATCTTGAAGTTGGACTTACCTAGTCGGACTATTTGTCCCAGGTAAACATACTCGTCAACAACTTCGAGCTTAGTGCTCCCAACAACTACCGGCATAGGTGTGACATGGACGTTAAACATGATTTTTGTTTTGTCCATGTTCATCTTAAGACCTATCCGTTGGGATCATTGAGCATAGTGCTTAGGTCCTCCAGCGTTTCTGCCATAAGGACTATATCGTCAAAATCGAAGGTGAGTGAAGTACTCGCCATTGATGTTGATACCGTATCTTTTCCAGTCCAGTAGCTTGAAAACGTCTTCTAATGCAATGTAGCAGTAAAGAGTTTCGGGGATATTACGTCACCCTGTCTTACACCTCTCTGCAATTGGATAGGTTTCGTACTCTGGTTCTGTACTCGGATAGCCATCGTAGCCCTACTGTACAAGCACTTCAGCACTTCGATATACCGACAGTCCACTTGGCACCGCTGGAGGAACTGCAGCACCACCCAAATTTCGACGAAGGCTTTCTCATAGTCCATATACGAAAGACAAAGTGGCAGAATGTACTCTTCGGTCTTCTGTACAATTTGCCGAAGGGCCTATGGTGCTAAAGCCTTTTCGGAAACCTGCTTGTTCGGGAGACTGGAAGCCGTCGAGTCTGCGTGCGAGACGATTCGTAATGACTCTCGAAAACAGCACCTAGACGCGGCTCTGAATGGAAATCTGTCTGTGGTTCTTCAAGAGAGCGTTATCGCCTTTCTTGAAGAACAAGACCACCGCACTTCTGCTCCACGCCTCCGGTGTAGTGCCACCACGGACGACGGAATTAAAGAGCTTCTGAAGGACTTTAAGTACCGGTTTTCCACCCGCTTTCAGAAACTCCGCTTTAATTCCATCCTCGCCTGGGGCCTTGCCGTTTTTAAGATGCTGGAGAGCCATTCTAATCTCGCTCAGACTGACGTCCGAGATATCATCGGAATAGTGCCGGATAAGACTTGCTCTTGGATCGTTACTCATATCGTTATAAGGCCGGCAACGCATCTGCGATTCCCCTGGTGTTACAGTTGTT